GATAGATACATTTGATGTGGAAAGATGATTAAGAGAATAAGAGTTAATGAGAAGTCGCGCGACTCTCTACTAATGATAATTTACTTAGTAAATGAAACAAAACAAAAAAAGTAGTCAAATTAAAAGCTTTAAATGTAATCATCTCTTTTTTTCACTTCTCAAATCCAGTTCACAAATACATTGTTTGAATAAATCTGTGAAAACCCCAAGATTTGAGCTCGAAGAAACACCAAAACACTCTGTAATGGGGAGTTCTTGAAGAGTAATGAGAAAGAATCAAGCTTTTTTTTCTTCACATTGGTGTTTTACTTTTGCCCAAATTCTTGAATTGTTCTTGTGGCTAGCGTAAGTACGTCTACAAACGCAGAGAACGAAGCGCGAAGAAGCCTTGCCTCTATTGCTTCAAAATGCCTGTAAAATTATCCAATAGAGAAAAGATGAAAACCAGTAAAGAAGTAGGCGAAGTAGAAGACTCGATGGACCCGAAAAAATGTCTAACTAAAACGAGTCGTAAATCGATTAAGCGATTTAACAACCAAATAAGGCGAAGAAGGACTTGAAGAAACTCACACAGAAAGCTTGTAGTCTGATACTGACATAACTCTTCTCACCTTATCAGGCTGCAACTGCATTAGTGGTCACAACAGAAGAAATTCTAACATCAGTGAAATTGGCAAAAACTTGTTTATTCATATGTTGGAAGAGAATTGAGAAATTTTAAACCTCTTTATCAACAGCCAATGATGTGTATGCAATCAAAGCATGTTCCTCCGAATTCCAAAAATTTCACATCCAAATTACTGCAGATTGCCAAAAGCTCTGTTACATCAAATCCTTAACAAGTCCCAATGAACAGATACCAAATTTATTCAAACCTATAACAGTCTAATCCTCAATATTGTTGTGCAACCCTAAGCCAAGCCTAAAAAGCAAGTTTAGAAGTTCAAATTAACCCAATTGACCAGAGCAATGAAAGTAACTAGGTCGTATATCTGGTTTATGTGGGTAAAGATCGAAACTTTTGAATCTATTCCTTCAAATGTATCAGACCCAAGATTTCTCTAGTCGAATCCGTATGTTCTAACATCAGATACAGAGCAAACACGTTACGAACTACCGGAAACTAAAAGCTGAATCACTAGAGATAAGAATTCAAAATCTCCCAAATCAGATAACTAAAGTAAGAGAAATTACAGAACATACCAACTAAAATCCCAAGTTTGGTCAGAACGAGTAACTGCTGGAGCAGTCGCAGCCATTTTTGCTCCTTCCTTCGTCAATGGAGGTTTTTGCAAAACCTTAACTAAACACAGAAACAGGTTTTGAGTGGGCTGCTTAACGGGCCTCATATTTGTAAGCCCAAGACATTTCATACCGAGAGGAATTGACGAGAATACCCTTTTCCGTAAACAAAGGTATGTGAAAGGTATATTCGAAAAGTATATCTTGCATGAAGGAATATTTTGAGGACAAACTAGAATCTCGTCTACTCATTTCGCTATCTCTTCTCTATCTCTGGTTCTGCAGATTACACAATTCAGCTACGTAACATCATTCACCAAAGAAAAGCTTCAAGCTTTGGTTTCAGACAGAAGCATTACCAGGCATGTCCTCTTCTCATCTCTGTGTTTCTTTCAGAATTAGCACGCTTGTTCATGATCTTGTAATGAATGTTTTAGATAAATTAAAAACATGTTGAAAGATTCATGGAACCTGGAATGCTTTTTTTCTTCTAAGTTGTATAGGACTTGTAATTCTTCTTTTGGCGCAGACACTAAAGAAAACAGTTATGTTCTATAGGTACACGAAAACATACAAGTTTATATTGAGTTTTCGATGACTTATCTTTACATATTACATCCGTAGAACAAATGTTTGTCATGGATCCTCTACACGTGTATATATATCAACAGTTTGTATAATCTCTTCCATGTGAAAGCTCTGTCTTCTTCTCTTAGCTTCTGTTTGCAGCAAACTTATCTTTAAGCTCTTATGTTTCATCAGCTTGATCATTGAAGAAATGTCTCATTGCTTGTATGAATATATCTGTCGAAAGACGTTTCAGATTGTGATAAGTCTAGTTGCTAATGTTCTATCTTTGATATAATTAAGCAGTGAGGAGCTTACTTGGTCGACAAATTGAAATGTGATGGGTTGTTGTTATGTAAGACAAGGTCCAACTTTGACGGGTTTTACAGCCCTAAAAGCTCTTCTTGAATACTCAAATGCCAAAACCAGAAGTCCGAAGAGGAAAAGTAGAAAGCGATGGAACTTTTCCGCTATGAAATGTGCGGGAGAGACGGCATTCTTGCCTTCCGGTGAGCTTCTAATCAATGCTAGTCTCTTCTTGAAATAACCTAATAATTCAAAGAGCAAGCAAATAATGGAATGTTGATGTTAGTTTCAGAACAACCTTGGAAGAAGAAGAATGGTCTAAAAGGATGGAAATTCTGTATTTCTATACCGGGTGTTTCCATGGTGAGGTTAGTCCAATCAGTTGGTATTTTCTTCATTTCTGACGCCTTGATTAACTCGAGAAGAGCTTTATTAACCTGAAATTGACCAGAAGGTATGTTAATCCCTTTTTCCAGGTTCTGAGAATACAGAGATACCAACAAGAGTAAGGAATATGTGTTCCCTCTTCCACAAAGTAGCAATGCTATTCCTAAAAGACCTCAAAGCCTGTAAGTCTTTATTTATAGTTTGCTATCATGACTAACAATGAGGTTTAAGTAACGGTATGATCGCTTACAATGTTCGATCAGTTGCTACAGCCGTCAAGTTTTTCTAAATAGGTTACCTTTAAAATCATTCTCCATATATGATTGAATCAGTTCATCAAATTCATAGTCAATATCTTGTTATTTTCAGAATAGTCTGATTCTATTTGGGTCTTATATTTTTCCTGCTAAGTTAAGGTAATCTGAGTATGACATTCATTGACATTTACTGCAGACTGGATGAGATTAAGGAGCGACAAAGACTTAAGATATTAAGGCTTATATACATCAGACGCAAGAGAGACAGAGAAGTTAAGACATAGCTAAATAAAAAAAAAGTACCTCTTCTGTCCTCTCATGGCTTACAAGATGACCTCCATGAAGATCTACCATTCTAGCGACGGGATATAGCCTCTGTGCCAGTCTTCTTGCGTAACATATCTGAGCAATCACATCATGTCTGCATATAACCCATCACATTCTCAAATTAACTACTGTGTAAAGGTAAAGATGCTTTATAAGATCAACAAACTCAAAACTGAGTGCACGAGGTGACTTTGATTCTAATTGTGTTGGTGTTGCATACCTTCCATGAATGACTGAGACAAGAAACCCAGCCGAGCGGATTACTACGATCTCTGGTTTTGTGATTTTGTGTAACCAACAAGTGTTAATTTGGCCATCAAACCCGTACTTGGACTGCATTCCAGTTTCTGATATTCCTTTCACATATTGCTGCATTGCATCACTCAAATATAAATTACCTTAACTCGTTCACTAGTGATATGATTATATGTCAGTTTCTTCACATAAAAAACCATTAAACCCACCTGATATAAAATTGCCCGTCTTGTGTTAGTTCCTACAGATTCTTCTAAGTAATCCTGCATATATAAACAGCATGAGAACATAATCACTCACAAGTTTCCTCTGGACAGTATTACGTCAGTCTTAGATTTTGTTACCAAATTACTCTACTAACATAATTCTTCAAGACCAACGATTTGATCTCTCAATCAATTCTAAATAACATAAATCTTCAAGACCAATGACTTGATCTCTCTACCAACTCAATCATCTGATAGCTTGTTCCAACCGAATAGAGAAAACAGCACCAAACTTTGCAATATAGAACTAAAGTTGCAAATGAAACACAGATTCAACAAACGCATGCCATATTTCAAACTCCAGGCATTGCTCTATTAACAATTGTATTAAGTCAAATTTTGTTCATAGTATTTCAGTACATCGAAGAACACACTGAAAGTCCCCACCTTTGAATAATGTGTGTCCAAATCAACAGCTGCCCTTTGTTCAGGGGTCTTTGCCTTCAGAAAACGTATCGCAATGGAAAGCGATTGCCGGTCAAGCTAAATCACATAAAAACAAAAGGCCAGCGTCAGATATTTTGTATCCAAGTGAAACATCATCTTGTGACAAATAAGAAAACTATAACTTGTCTTCATATAAGAAACCAACAGATTCACACGTATGAACAATTCATTGCTATCAAAGAAAGATGATCCAACAACAGCGCCACGTATATCATTCAAGTACCTTCGGGAAACATTCGAACCCTCCACCTGTAACGTTAAGCAACGCCAACGAAAGAACCCGTTCGGGCACCATTGCAGCTAACTTGCAAGCTATCATAGCTCCTGTTAATCAAAAAGCCAAGAGAACAACAATGAGACTTCTTAAAGAACCTATGGAATAGAACCATAATCTGTCTACAAAACACAATCATCAATAGTCACTTGAAAGATCAAACAAATTACCCATAGAATGGCCAATTATGTGAGCTCTCTTCCAACCCAAATGATCTAACAAATTAATTGAATCATTTGCCATTATCGTTGTTCTGCGCCAAAACATAACCCAAATTGAGTGAAGCTAACAAAGCCAATTTCACAGGCAACTGTTAAAACCGAGATTAAGAACACAAAGCAGAGAATTTGAAGTTCTTTCGGTAACGAAATTGGGGACAACAGAAAGAGAGACTCACGAGTACTCAGATTTGTGGGTAGGTATAGAGCTCCGACCCATACCACGATTGTCAAAAGCACAGACCTCGATGCCTTGGCCGGTTCCTGAATCATCGGAAACGATTCCTCCGTCGACGTCGTTGGGTTTATCCGTCCCCGTCAATCCCATGATTTGAGGACCCCAGGATTCATGGGTTCCGGCTAAACCTGAGCATAACGACAAAAACCCAATTGAAATCAAGCTCGGAATCGCTAGGGAGATCAATCTAAAGGGAGAGCTGGAGAATACAACAGACCTATGATGAGAAGAGCTTTGATAGGACCGTGACCGTACGTTCTGTAGAAGAGTTTGATTGCGGCATTGTTAAGAGTCGTCTCTGGGCCGACGTCTTCTTTCACGACCTCGCAAAACGGCATCGTTTCTCTCTGTAATTTTCAATGATATCTTCCTCTGAGTCAGATTCAGCAACCGGAAAATGAAGAGGAGGAGACGAGAAAGGAAGGACTTTTCTCTATTGAGGAAAAGGAAGATAATTGGGTTTGTGGTGGTTCGGTTCGGTTTTTTTGGGTGGAGGTTATGACTGCCACGTAGGATTGGTCGGCTGGATTTTATTGGCGGGTAATATCTAACAAAGGTCAACGGTCAAATTTTTACACGAGAAAAGTTGTTATTATTATTATTATACTAGATGTTAACCCGCGGTACACCGCGGGCATAAATATTATTTGATTATTTTATTAATTATTAATTGTAATATTTTATTTGACATAATACAATTTTTTATTAATTTAGATGTATAAAACTCAATATACTTGTATATATTTAAATGTATAAAACTCAATATAGTTGTATATATCAATTTTATTTTACTAAAATAGATTTTAAAAATTTCCAATAGATCAGTTACTTGTATTCAAATTATGCCATTTCCAATTTTATAAAGTTAGAGAAATAAGATATTGTATTTGATTTCATTTGAATCTATTGAGTTTAATAAAAATACAATTTATGGTATATATGAACATATTTTTGGTGGAAAAGATATAACAGTTTTAAAAGTGTGTAAATTTAGAAGATAAAGTGTTTTGGATTTAATTTATGTCATTAGTAATAGTTAGTTAGATAAAAAAGTTTGTATAGAATACTTAAATTAATATTACTCTACTTGGTCAGAACAAAAAAAAATAAAAATACAAACCAAAACCAAAAACAAAAAGCAAAACCGAAGAAATGGCTTGGTTAGATGATACCAAACCGGTCGTGC